TATTGATTAATGTGACTCAAAAAAAGATAAAAAAATAATAAAAATAGACTAAAATAAATTATATCAAACCACCCATTTTCTATAAAATTCTGAATCTTTGTAATTTATCTTTTATTTTCTATACAAGAAAAATTACAAGTCCAATGGTGTAAGCTATTCTCCAATCAGAATTACAACAAATAATTTAGAAGCAATTGATGAGTGTTCCAAAAAAAAAACAAACAAACAGTGCCTAAGAAGCCACCACATCAGCCGATGATGCATCAATGACGTCATCATGTCTCATCCCGCATGTGACAGTCCACGTGTCAGAGTTAGCGCATCGGCGCGTCAGCATACCGTCAGCCAGCGCGTGACACCGTTTTTCGCACTATCTGACTTTATTTTTTCAGGAGAAATTCAACGGCAACAATAATAGAGATGATTAATTTTAGAACTTTAAAAAGATTATTAATGATATATTGTTTAATAAAAAAAAAATACAACACTTAGGTTAAAATATCAAATCATTCCTGATGGAATCTACTATCACATTATTAATAATAACATTAATTAACGCTCTCACTCATTTCCGATTCAACAGTGATCTCCATTTTTTTATTTTGATAAGTATAAAATATGAAGTACAATCCACTATCTTTATTGTCAGTCGGAGTGCAGATCTTTTGTAATTTATTTTTTTATCATCGACCACTAAAAATATAAAAACGAATCTAAATTAAGATTTGTGATTTCCTCAATTCATAAGTTAGAATCAAACTTATAATATAAATTGAAAAATATTTGAGATTTCCACAAAAGAAGATCCCATGACCCCACTAATATATTAATTATTGATATGTTTAAATTTTTTTGGGGAGCTAGGTCTGACAGTGACATGAATAGTTCAAATCATTTTGAGTCTAAGAGAGTTGTATTTTGTAGGGGTCTCTATCATTACTGATATACATTTTGAAGGTCAAACAAGAATTCCAAATATATAATTTTCATAACATGAAAACAATGTACGTAAAAACAGCATGATTCAGAATTACAAAAAAATAAATATAAATGTCCATTTTCTCATAATCCGATCGTTTGATTTTTGCAAAACTTTGCAAATATGATCTAAATAATATGGATCACAATATATATAAAATACAGGTCAATCACAGATATTTTGAAAACCATCAATTTTCTTGCATGAAAAACATATATACATATTTTAATACCAAGGGGTGGTTTGTGATAATCTAAATAAGTGTATTTTTGGACTTTTTATGAAATATGGATTGAGTTTGAAGTGATGTGTTAGAGAGGTGATATAACTTAAATAAAATGATGTGACTTAAATAGAACAGTGACTTTTTAACTTTTTGACTTTTTCAGATCATGCCAAACAAGGCCTAAATATATGGTTTAAATCATATTTCACGCATAAAAAATACAAAAATACCTAACAATAACTCTAATACCAATGCATAAAAATAAGAAATAATACATAACAGAAATAAACGGATTTGACATACATTTTACGTTCAAACCGAATCCATTGATCATGTAAGTGAATCACGTACCTTTATTAAAAAATTTCAAACAATTTCCAAAAGTGAGATAGAACTATTAGAGAATTATCCACGCTCTTCATAATACAAATATGTGTTTTCATAGAGAGAGAAAAGAGAAAGAAAAAGGAAAAAAAGACTAAGAGAGAGAATAGCATATTACCCATACGGTTAAATATATATACTATATATATATATATAAAAGCAAATGTAGTGGATGTGTTAAATATATATACTATATATATATATATATAAGCAAATGTAGTGGGTGTGCTCTTAGGCCTCAAAATCTATATTCTTACTTTCCTAAAATTTTAAAAAATTATGTAGCACTTAAGGCATCGTTTGGCAAGTGGCTGTTTAACTTAAAAGTCCAAAAGTCAATGATTTTCTTTTTTCTCTACTTTTTGCATATCTTTTCGTAAAAAGTTAAAAGTCATCTCAAACATACTATTTTTTTTTACCTCATATTTTAACTAAAAAGTCAAAAAGTTACTAAAATAACATGTTCCGAAACGAGGCCTAACTTTCAAACCCACTCATCTCTCATCACTTCCATTTAGAATAAAAATTATTTTTTAATAATTTAATAATATATGCTCGTAGAATAATAGTTATCAGAATACAAACTTATCAAAAAAAAAGAAGAGAGAGAGAGAGAGAGAGAGAGCTATCGCAAAATTCAAAAAATATAACTGTTTATATAGGAGGAGAGAGATGTGAAATTGGATAAATAAATGGAAAATGTTTGAGGGCCCTAATTTTTGTGGCTCAAATGGCTCGAATTTTCCAAAACGACGTCGTTTTGGCAAATTCGAGCCATTTGAGCCACAAAAATTAGGGCCCTCAAACATTTTCCATTTATTTATCCAATTTCACATCTCTCTCCTCCTATATAAACAGTTATATTTTAATTGATTATAAATACATACAAAACTATTATGTTGCTCTTTTTTTGCCCCCTTTCTCTTTCTCTATATTTATAATTTTATATTGTTATAAGTATGGTTGAAATGCTCCACACATTTGTATTTTTTGTCTAAATTTTAATTTTTTTTGCAGGTGACATCATAAATATAATACCAAACTTGATGGCCAAAGAATTTTTGAATTTCTTTTTATTGCATTAACGTTGAACATTATGTACCAAAACTGCAAAAAATAAAAAATAAAAATGTGTAAGAAAATTATTATGTGTATCATTTTCATAATGACTTTCCCACCAAACTAAAAAACTTTTTCCTATTTGAGAATTTCAGAGTAATTTAACTTGGCCATTGAGTATCTACTATATTCTTTTGCTTAAAATTTTATCTTTCAAGGATATTTTAGTTATGGGTTCACATAGTTTATATGTTTTTATGTAATATTTAATTTTGCTCTTTTACATTTAATATCAAATTTAATTTTTTAATAAGAAACTTGAATAAATGAGCCTTTTATTTTGTTTTGTTTGTGGGTTGGCAGTAGAATATAATTTTTATCATAGCAAAACATAGTTCTTATTATATGATACTTATTGATATTTCGCTACAGTTATTTTTTTATTTATTTGTTTGTTTAATTGAATTACTTTTTGTATTTTTAGTTATTACTTTTAAATAATAAAAGACAATTAGTGTGGATGATGTTAAACCTATAACCATGGCACATCATATGTTTTGCAATCTTATTTTTAACTTATTCATTTTAAATCATATACAGTCGTGCATCGCACGGGTTACCACTAGTAATATTTTATTATAATGAGAGTATTATAATCACCCACAACTTTATCTCCAAAGAGATGAGATAGTGGGTCATTCACACTTATCCTAGAATAAATTAATCTAAGTTCACTTTGAGAAGATCTTTTCTTATAAGTCTTGGGTTATACCACCATAACTTACCCAATTAAATACGAATTTTGAACCTGACCTAATTTTCAACGCGTACTATGTCTCTATTAAATGCTATTTCATATGATTTGGAGTACATTATATAAGTACACTTTTTATCTTTTTACAATACATCTCTATTTTTATATTTATTTTTTCATAAAAAATTAAAAAAATATTCATATTTGAATTATGACAAACAACTCCTTCAAACAAAATGCTGGTCCAATAGGCACACATTGTGGAGCCAAAAATTTTAGTTCCCCAACTAGGGGTGGCCCCATTTCAAGTAAAAGAACTCTACTTTGTTGCTTATACAGCCTGGCTGCAAATTAACAAAATTATGAAAATTTCTTGTCAGCTCACAAATCAATCTCATCTCTTGATAGTGGAAAGCTTTTTTAATTAGCTAGGGTCTCGCAAACATGAACTTTTCTTTAGAAAGGTGGATTAGCTAATGTGTGAAAATGCTTTACAGTTGACCTCCCAAGCCCTAACATTCCAGTTGCAGTTTTTCTAAGTTGAAAGATGACGAATTGTAAGTAGAATTTAGAAGTACTTCGTTTATATTTTTCAAAAATTGTTTTTTTGACTTCTTAGCCTTGGTTTGGCTCTCTTTCTAGGCTATATAATCACAAAAAGATTTTTTTTTAAAAAAAGTTATAAAATTACAAAAAGGCAAAAAAGTTACAAAATTACCAAACTAACCAATATACAAACAAAAAATCAAGTAGAGGGCAATTTTGTCATTCCAAAGTCAAAAAGTCAAAAAAACCAAACAAAAAATACCAACCAATCAAAAAAACCTCAAGCTAAAAAAGTCAAAAAAGTCAAAAAATCAAAAAGTCAAAAAGCCAACTAAAAAAGCCAAAACCAAACGGCCCCTAATTTATATATATATATTTGTTTTAGTGAATTTTTTTTTTTTTTGCTATTTTGGAGGGGGGTTGGAGGGGGTTAATTGGTGATAAATCTAATATAATGAGGGTATAAACCACATGGTTCAGGAGATATTTTTTGTTGATGAGAAGTCCATACTTTGTAAAATAGTTTGGTAAGAAATCCTAAAAAAACATTTTGTTTTCAATTTTGCCTCTTGACTTTTTTTTTAACTATCGTTGACTATCTGTTGAAATTAATTTTATCTATTAAAATTTTTTATCTGTTCAAAAAAATTTAAGTTCAAAATTTTTTCCCTTATCTATTCAATTTTTTTCCCCTTTATCTTTTTAATTATCTGTCCTATTTTTTATTTGTTCAAATTTTAAACAATTTTATCCAATAATGGAACAGCCATTGAGAGGAGGAACTCCAATACGATAGCATATACTGGAGCTTCACTCCATATGATCCCCAAATTACTCGCTGCAAGTCCAACCAAATTGCTAACCAACGCACCACTCAATGTACTCTCAATCTTTGTCTTCTATTATAATATTCCCAACATATCATCTAGAGCCAAACACACTCCTATGTTAAACTCCATTTAGGATATCTAAACCCAACTCCAAACTTGATAGTAGGTGTGACCAAACACCCCATTTCAACACAAAAAAAAAAAAAGCGAAGTGCAGATTTATTTTCTTCTTCGTTGTCTTCATTCATCATTCTCTAACTTCTCTCTACATTCTCTCTCATTTTTCCTTTACCTTATTGGTGGCCAAACACCACACCCTTGCTCCACCCTTACACCACCACCTTAACCCACCATCTCCACCACCGCCGGCCACCTTATCTCGCCGGAAAAAGGGTCCGGTCGGCCACTCCTTAAATCCATCCGAAAATAGCACAATAGAAGTACCAACTCTAGATTTTTCTTAATCTTTCGAAGAATCAAAGCATGGGGTTTATTTTCTTGATGGATTAGAGGCTTGTAATTGGTAAGAATCTTTCTCTAAAAGTTTAGTTTAAAGTTTTACATATTTTGAGTTAGAGATGATGAATTTTTTTTATATTTTAGATCTATTATGATTTGGGGTTTGATTGTTGAATTTTATACTCTCAATTAGTTTCTATGAATGTTTTACATGTTGAAAAACGATCAATTTGATGGTTGTTTTAGAGATTAAGATTTTGGGTTAATCTAGGGTTTGAATGTGATGTAAAAATTGAGAATTTTGGTGTTAAGAAATTTATATGTTGAAATTGATTTGATAAATGGTGGATTGGGTATCTCTATGTTCTATGGAGGAATTTTATAAATGATTGAAGAGATTTTACTTAAGTTGTTGAGTTTATAAAAAATGTTGATTTTTGACTTTTGTAGTTAATTGATAGTGGTATTGTGCATATAAATTGATTGGATATTTAAAAAGTTACTAACTCAAAGATGTACAAAGGATGGGTGTTGTGGAGATTGGATAAGTTATTTGTTTGGTGACTTGAAGTTGGAGGAGTTATTTAGCTTATCATTCCTTAGCATAATTTATTTAGGATCATTTTTGTAGATGTTGTAATTTTTCATTGAAAGCTTTTTCCTAATTTTAGGTCCTATTTTATTAATTGTTAGGATTGGAGGAAGGCGTCTCTACACCTCTTGGGAATTAATTTGTAGAGTCTCAATCTACACTTTTGCGATTTTTGGAGGTGAGTATACTTACCATGAAAATTACCTTACCTCTATCTTTATTACAAAGTTTGAAGATAATTTTGAATTAAATGAAGCGAATGATACATTTCATTATGATATATGTGTAAAAAGAAAAATCTATAAATCTATTGAGGCCAATGGTTGAGTTTAAATAAATATATGATTCGGGGCCACAAGGGCCAAAATGCTTTGGGGTCCTGGGGATCGAAATGTTTTAAGAACCATAAGGATCGTTGTATGTATAAGGGGTCTGAGGGACCAAAACATTGAAACAAGAATTGAAGTGCTATGATGACATGAGTTATGTTCCTATGGTTACATTTTGGGTAACGGTACCGTCACCACCTAAGTCGCGAGGTAACGCGACCCTAAGGCTATGTAGTGGTTCATATGATGGACATGAGATCTTAATGTATTGAAAAGTTGTATTTTTGTTTACTTTCATTATTTAAATGTACATTTTTTTTTCTGCCTTATGAGATTCCTTGGAAAAGCCTTGATAACGTTTTATGAAAATTATATTCCATCTTTTTTATTTTTATTTTGTATAAATTTCAATCCAATTAAGCTCTTATATTAATTATCTTTATTTTGAGCCCAATTGGAAGGAGCAAGTTTTATAACTCCATGGTATTGGTATACTCATTGAGCTTTAGCTCATTCTTTTTAAATAATTTTTTTTTCAGATTCATAGACTTTTGTGTGGCTCGCCTCAACTTGGAAGACTAGATTTTTTTTTTGAAGGATCAAAGGTGCGCATCTTGTAGTTGAGGTTTTGCTTAGGGTCATTCTAGGATGTAAGTTTACCTTTTATTTTATTTTTTTTAGGAAGGAGGTTGATTGTAAATAATTGCTCATGAAGTTGGATGTATTGATGGATTCGTGAATAGTATGTATTATTTTTGGGGAGGAAATGCTTGGGAACTATCTTGTAGCATGATAATACCTTTTTGTCTTTGAATAGATCATCTCATATATGTTGGGCAATTAAAAGGTCTTATGCACTTTTGGTGAAGTGGTGATGTGATGTAAGGATTATACAAGAATTGTGGTGTAAAGGTGCTATAGCGTTTGAGGTGCACCCTCTTGGCGGGGTTTTGCCTTGCCAAGATTGGGTCGTTACATTTTTGGTTTCAGAGCATTAGGTTATGAATCTATAGACTAGTTACTTTAGAATCAAAGTTGATAGGGTATTGAAGCTAGTAATTCGATTAGTGATGGTGTTTAATAGCGATCTAGTATTCTAAGTTTAATTGTCATGTTATACAGGTACGTATGGCAAAGCGAAAAGTTCATAAGGGTCACCCCCTTATGGAAGTACTTGAGGCTGAGCGAGAGCCACATCTTAGTGTTGGAAATGAAGTTCCACCTCGGGTTCAGAAAGAAGAGATTGAACATGAATTGCATAATGAGCAAACTCAAGAGTCAAGTGCCAATCCAGAAGTGGGACATTCAGATAGAGTTGTACCACTAAGGGCTAACGTAGCTCCAGCATTTTTAGACCCTAGTGTGCAGCGCCTTTTAGAGTCAGTGGCTAGCCTAGCGGAGAGGCAAACTCGCATCCTTGAACAACATAATGCAGCACAGTCTAGGCCATTTGTGCAACCTATAGAGAACCGCCTCACCGCAATTGAGAGGTTCAAGAAGTTGGGGGCTCCATCATTTTCTAGATCGCCCAATCCTATGGAGGCAGAGGCCTGGTTAAGGAGGGTAGAGCAGATATTTTCTGTGATGGAAGTATCAGACGGACAGCGAGTTGCACTTGCTAGTTTTATGCTGGTGGAGGAGGCTGAATATTGATGGGAGGCCACGTAACGCCTACTTACGGCAGGTGGCACTGAAGGATTGACCTGGAACCAATTCACTAAGGTTTTCAATGACAAGTACTTTCCAGCTACCTATCGGTATGAAAAAGAAAGAGAGTTCCTTCGGCTAGAGTAAGGGGATTTGACTGTAGCTCAGTATGAAGCTAAGTTCATTTCTTTATCTCGTTTTGCCCCTTCGTTTGTGGATGATGAGGAGGTCAAATGTTGTCGTTTTACAGATGGGTTGGATTTGGACATCAAATCTCGTATCCGAGTATTGGGAATAACTAACTATTCGACCTTGGTTGATAAAGCCTTAACAGTTGAGAAAGATGTCATAGAAATGAAGTTAGCGGAACAACAGAAGAAGCGCCACCTTAGTTCGTCCCATCATGAGAACACAGCTAATAGACCGTCAAAGAGAGGTGGTCATGGTTATGGTTCTGTCAAGAGCTCTAGTGCATATAAAAAAAATAGAGAGCATCCCACCCCAACCCAAAGCATTTCTAATCAACGTCATGGACAGTCTAGTGGGACATCATCTCAGTTTACTCGAAGTGTTTGCAAGCAATGTGGACAGGCACATACAGGTGTTTGTCATGCTGGTACCGACTTGTGCTTTCGTTGTGGCCAGAAGGGTCATTTGGTGAAAGATTGCACAGTTCCTAAAATGACTAATTTGGGAGATACACGAGCTTGCTTCAATTGCGGACAACCCGGACATTTGGCTAGAAATTGCACACGAACCGCTTCATCTGCTAGTACTGGAGTTGGTAGGAATAGAATTTCAGGTGCCAGCCGAGGGGGAGGTCAGGTTGGGACTAGGTTTGGCAAGCAAAATAAAGGAGGTGTTCAATCTGATAGACAAACCTCGCAAGAGAGAGTTTTTGCTTTGACTCAGCGGGATGCTCAGGCTAATCCGGAGGTGGTGACAAGTATTATTTATGTGTTCCGTAAGGAGGCACATGTACTTATTGATCCGGGTTTTACACATTCTTTTGTATCTCTATCATTTCCTTTGCATGCTGATAAACCTATTGAACCTCTAGGCTATTGTTTATCCATTACTACTTCTATTGGGGATTGTGTTATAATTGAGGAGGTATATCGTGGTTGTGTATTACAGTTGGGAGATAGGGAGATGGTAGCGGATTTATTGCCTTTAGAGATGCTTGATTTTGATTTGATTTTGGGAATGGATTGGTTGGCTTCTTACCATGCTTCAGTGGATTGTTATAGGAAAGAGGTAGTATTTTCCAATTTTGGGGAACCTGAATTTAGATTTTGTGGAGATCGATATGCGTCCCTATCTTATGTTATTTCTGCTATTACCGCTAGAAAAATGTTTAAGAAGGGGTGCCAGGGATACTTAGCCTATGTGGTTGACTTTGAATTAAGTGGTCCAAGACTGGAGGATATACCAATTGTGTGTGACTTCGTAGATGTTTTTCCCGATGAACTACCTGGATTACCCTCAGATAGAGAAATTGAGTTTGCTATTGACTTAATTCCTGGAACTACCCCAATTTCTAGTGCACCTTACCGTATGGACCCAGCGGAACATAAGGAGCTTAAGATGCAATTGCAAGAGTTATTGGATAAAGGCTTCATTAGGCCAAGTGTCTCGCCTTGGGGATCACCTGTGTTATTTGTGAAGAAAAAAGATGGCACCATGAGATTGTGCATTGACTATCGGCAGTTGAATAAGGTCACGGTGCGTAATAAATATCCTTTGCCTCGTATAGATGATTTGTTTGATCAACTTCAGGGAGCATGTGTGTTCTCCAAAATCGATCTCAGATCAGGGTATCACCAACTTAAGATTAAGGAAGAAGGCATACCAAAAACTGCTTTTCGAACTCGCTACGGCCATTATGAATTTCTTGTTATGCCTTTTGGTCTAACTAATGCCCCCGCCGCATTTATGGACCTTATGAATAGAGTGTTTCAACCATACCTTGACCAATTTGTGATTGTATTTATTGATGACATACTTGTTTATTCCAAGAGTTAAGAGGATCATCAACAACACTTACCGGTGGTATTGCAGACTTTACGAGAAAGGAAATTGTATGCGAAGTTTAGCAAATGTGAGTTTTGGTTAGATCGTGTCGTATTTTTGGGGCATGTGATTTCAGGTGAAGGTATTTTTGTGGATCCGAAGAAAATAGAGGCTGTGGTGAATTGGGATCATCCTACTAACGTGACCGAGGTGAGGAGCTTTTTAGGGTTGGCAGGCTACTATCGTAGATTTGTAGAGGGGTTTTCATTGATTGCGGCCCCATTAACACATTTGACCCGTAAGAATACCAAATTTGAGTGGACGGAGAATTGTGAAAAGAGTTTTCAAGAATTAAAGAAACGATTAACTTCTGCCCCAGTGCTTACTATTCCATTATGTGGTGAAGGATTTATTGTTTACAGTGATGCCTCTCATCAAGGGCTCGGTTGTGTGTTGATGCAACATGGAAAGGTAGTGGCCTATGCATCTAGACAATTGAAGAACCATGAACGCAATTATCCCACCCATGATTTAGAGCTCGTAACAGTTGTTTTTGCTTTAAAGTTGTAGAGACATTATTTATATGGGGAAAAATTAATTATCTTTATTTTGAGCCCAATTGGAAGGAGCAAGTTTTATAACTCCATGGTATTGGTATACTCATTGAGCTTTAGCTCATTCTTTTTAAATAATTTTTTTTTTCAGATTCATAGACTTTTGTGTGGCTCGCCTCAACTTGGAAGACTAGATTTTTTTTTGAAGGATCAAAGGTGCGCATCTTGTAGTTGAGGTTTTGCTTAGGGTCATTCTAGGATGTAAGTTTACCTTTTATTTTATTTTTTTTAGGAATGAGGTTGATTGTAAATAATTGCTCATGAAGTTGGATGTATTGATGGATTCGTGAATAGTATGTATTATTTGGGTTGAACTGATTAAGGACTATGACTGCACCATTAATTATCATCCAGGAAAAGCTAATTTGGTGGCCGATGCTCTTAGCCGAAAATCTACAGGGAGATTAACTCACATTCTGGGCATTCAATTTAGTCTCCTACATGAAATAAAATCTATTGGAGTTGATCTAGCAGTTGGGAAGTCAGGATCCTTGTTAGCTACAATTAAAGTGAGACCTTTGTTGGTGGGTCGCATTCGAGAAGCCCAAGGAAAAGACTCAGTTTTGGAGAAGACCCGAGCTCGAGTGAAAGATAGTACTCTGTCAGACTTTATTATTAAAGAAGATGGTGTGTTGATGTTTAAAAATCGGTTATGTGTTCCAAATGAGCCCGAGATAAAAAGGGAGATATTAGATGAGGCCCATAATTCACCTTATGCAATGCATCCCGGGAATACAAAGATGTATCAAAATTTAAGAGAAAGTTATTGGTGGCCAAATATGAAGAGAGAGATAGCAGAATTTGTGTCAAGGTGTTTGGTATGTCAGCAGATTAAAACAGATCATCAACGCCCAGCCGGTTTACTTCAACCTCTTCCTATACCTGAATGGAAATGGGAGCATATCGCCATGGATTTTGTTTTGGGCCTACCTCGCACACAGAAGGGGCATGACTCTATTTGGGTTGTTGTAGATAGGTTGACCAAATCTGCACACTTTTTGGCTACTAAGAAAAACTTTTCACTTGATCGATTAGAAAAAATTTATGTGGATGAAATTGTGAGATTGCATGGTGTGCCAGTATCTATTGTTTCAGACAGAGACTCGCGCTTCACATCCCACTTTTGGCCTAGTCTTCAAAATGAGATTCAGTACAGCTTTTCACCCCCAAACCGACGGGCAATCCGAGAGGACAATTCAAACTTTAGAAGACATGTTAAGAGCTTGTGTCCTAGATTTTCGAGGTAGTTGGGATGAACACTTGACCTTAATAGAATTTGCATATAATAATAGTTATCAATCAAGTATTGGAATGGCTCCCTATGAAGCTTTATATGGGCGAAGATGTAGAACTCCAGTATGTTAGGATGAGGTTAGAGAGAGAAAATTGTTAGGGCCAGAGATTGTTCAAATTACTACCGATAAAGTGCATATCATTCGAGAAAGGTTGAAGGCGGCTCAAAGTAGACAAAAGAGCTATGCAGATAATCGGAGGAGGGATTTGGAATTTCAAGTGGGAGATCATGTATTTTTACGAATCTCACCATGGAAGGGAGTGATGCGATTTGGTAAGAAAGGCAAACTAAGTCCAAGGTATATTGGGCCATTTGAGATACTAGAGCGCATTGGCAAGACTACTTATTGTTTGGCCTTACCACCTAGTCTATCTCGCATTCACAATGTGTTTCATGTATCCACATTGAAGAAGTACATGCCTGACCCATCACACGTGTTAGATTTCCAACCAATCCAACTCAAGGATGATTTGTCTTATGAAGAGGAAGCCATAGAGATTGTGGACATGAAGGATCAAGTACTACATTCCAAGACTATACCACTAGTAAAGGTATTGTGGAAAAATCATGCTTTGGAGGAAGCTACTTGGGAGCGGGAGGATGATATGAAAATTCGATATCCACATCTTTTTCAAGATATGAACTAGACTAAATAAATAAATAAATTTCGTGGACAAAATTTTCCTTTAGGGGGGGTAGAATTATAATATTCCTAACATTTCATCTAGAGCCAAACACACTCCTATGTTAAACTCCATTTAGGATATCTAAACCCAACTCCAAACTTGATAGTAGGTGTGACCAAACACCCCATTTCAACACAAAAAAAAAAAAATTAGAAGTGCAGATTTTTTTTCTTCATTCTTCATTCTCTAACTTCTCTCTACTTTCTCTCTCATTTTCCTTTACTTTCTTGGAGGCCAAACACCACACCTTTGCTCCACCCTTACACCACCACCTTGACACACCATCTCCACCACCTCCGGCCACCTTATCTCGCCGGAAAATGGGTCCGGTCGGCACTCCTTGAATCCATCCGAAAATAACACAATAGAAGCACAAACTCTAGATTTTTCTTAATCTTTTGAAGAATCAAAGCATGGGGTTTATTTTCTTGATGGATTAGAGGCTTGTAATTGGTAAGAATCTTTCTCTAAAAGTTTGGTTTAAAGTTTTACATATTTTGAGTTAGAGATGATGAATTTTTTTTGTATTTTAGATCTATTATGATTTGGGGTTTGATTGTTGAATTTTATACTCTCAATTAGTTTCTACGAATGTTTTACATGTTGAAAAATGATCAATTTGATGGTTGTTTTGGAGATTAAGATTTTGGGTTAATCTAGGGTTTGAATGTGATGTAAAAATTGGGGATTTTGGTGTTAGGAAATTAAATTTATATACTGAAATTGATTTGATAAATGGTGGATTGGGTATCTCTATGTTTTATGGATGAATTTTATAAATGATTGAAGAGATTTTACTTAAGTTGTTGAGTTTATAAAAAATGTTGATTTTTGACTTTTGTAGTTAATTGATGGTGGTATTGTGCATATAAATTGATTGGATATTTAAAAAGTTACTAACTCAAAGATGTTCAAAGGATGGGTGTTATGGAGATTGGATAAGTTATTTGTTTGGGTGACTTGAAGTTGGAGTTCTTTAGCTTGTCATTCCTTAGCATAATTTATTTAGATCATTTTTGTAGATGTTGTAATTTTTCATTGAAAGCTTTTTCCTAATTTTAGGTCCTATTTTATTAATTGTTAGGATTGGAGGAAGGCGCCTTACGCCTCTTGGGAATTAATTTGTAGAGTCTCAATCTACACTTTTGCGATTTTTGGAGGTGAGTATACTTACCATGGAAATTACCTTACCTCTATCTTTATTACAAAGTTTGAAGATAATTTTGAATTAAAGGAAGCGAATGATACATTTCATCATGATATATGTATAAAAAGAAAAATCTATAAATCTATAAATCTATTGAGGCCAATGGTTGAGTTTAAATAAATATATGATTTCATTTGTATAATGAAGCACTAATTTTTATGAGAATTTATTTAACTTGAGTCCTTCAAATTTTATGATGATGATGATTGAATGACAATGAAACGCTATTTGAGGGTATTTATTTTATTGATCATATAACCGAATATAGCCTTCGGGGCCACAAGGGCCAAAATGCTTTGGGGTCCTGGGGATCGGAATGTTTTAAGGACCATAAGGGTCGTTGTATGTATAAGGGGTCCCGGGGACCGAAACATTGAAACAAGAATTGAAGTGCTACGATGACATGAGTTATGTTCTTATGGTTATGTTTTGGGTAACGGTACCGTCGCCACCTAAGTCGCGAGGTAACGCGACCCTAAGGCTATGTAGTGGTTCGTATGATGGACATGAGATCTTAATGTATTGAAAAGTTGTATTTTTGTTTACTTTCATTATTTAAATGTATATTTTTTTTTTCTGCCTTATGAGATTCCTTGGAAAAATCTTAATAACGTTTTATGAAAATTATTTTTCATCTTTTTTATTTTTATTTTGTATAAATTTCAATCCAATTAAGCTCTTATGTTAGTTATCTTTATTTTGAACCCAATTGGAAGGAGCAAGTTTTATAACTCCATGGTATTGGTATACTCATTGAGCTTTAGCTCATTCTTTTTAAATAATTTTTTTTTTTTTTCAGATTCATGGACTTTTGTGTGGCTCGCCTCAACTTGAAAGACTAGAATTTTTTTTGAAGGATCAAAGGTGCGCATCTTGTTGTTGAGGTTTTGCTTAGGGTCATTCTAGGATGTAAGTTTACCTTTTATTTTTATTTTTTTTAGGAAGGAGGTTGATTGTAAATAATTGCTCATGAAGTTGGATGTATTGATGGATTCGTGAATAGTATGTATTATTTTTGGGGAGGAAATGCTTGGGAACTATCTTGTAGCATGATAATACTTTTTTGTCTTTGAATAGATCATCTCATACATGTTGGGCAATTGAAAGGTCTTATGCACTTTTGGTGATGTGGTGATGTGATGTAAGGATTATACAGGAATTGTGGTGTAAAGGTGCTATAGCGTTTGAGGTGCACCCTCTTGGCGGGGTTTTGCCTTGCCAAGATTGTGTCGTTACATCTATGACCTTCCTCAACAAAACAGTCATAGAACATAAGCAATAAATCAAAAAGAAAAAGAAAAAGAAAAAACAAAATCAAGTCCTAATTTTCTATTGTTTGTTGATGAATAAATACAGAGATTGAAATGTAGTATACAAGTGCAGTGCACCAGATACCAAAAGCACCAGTGGAGAAGAGAGCAGTCTAGGTGCCCTATTGATCATGGAGAGAAATGAGAAGGAGATTAAAATGCGATGATCTAACAATTAGAGCGGAACAAATCGAATTGGGGTTTCTTTTAGGTAAAGTGAGAGGAGAGAAAATGGGGGATTGATGATTATCTTGTTGGTCGTCGTTGCCATGAACAACGATGGTGGAGACTGGAGTAGATGTCGGGCTTGGCGAGGTCGTCGTCGTCGAAAGTCAGATCTAAACTCTCACACACATAGAGGACTTAAGACAATGAAGAAGAGACGGATCTAGATCTTGCAGATGGAGAAAGAGCGGCAGTGGTCGCCGTTGGCGATGGTTGTGGCAGTAGCAGAATAGGAGAAGAAAACCCCTCCTTTCATCTCCTTCCTCAACACAGTCCCTCCCTCCGTCGCCTCCTCCCCAGTCCCCATCTTCTCAAATTGAAACCCCTTCGTCACCCCGCCATCTACAACTCTCTCTCTCTCTCTCTCTCTTGTTCTTTGCGGATTGAGGATCGCGGAGGGGTGGGAGCTGCATCAACGGTGGTGTTGCGTCGCGAAATAGCGGGTTACGGGGGTGGTGTTGTGTTGCCGCCATCCTTTTCGCTTCAGAAGACGATTGATGCCACCCCTTATACCGCCTTTTGAACCAGGGTCGAAAATAACGCATCGATTCAACCATCAACATGTGAACAAAACATATTGGTTCGACTTTCAATATCCCAACAAAACATATTAGTTCAACTTTCAACATCTGAACACGTTGGTTTAGCACTATACTTCTGAATCAATGTGTTTGGTTCGAAACTATACTTCTGAACCTTATATATTAGTTTGATACTGTACTTCCGAATGAACCAATGGAGGTCTTTTATGGAGGTCGAAAACAGGCAGGTTCTCCTTGTGTAGGAGACTGCAATGGAACTCCCTGGTTCTCAGTTGTGACTGCAATGGAGGTTGGAACCAGTTGGCTTCTCCTACCAGGGCGTAGCTGTGTGGATGCTGACCCAGTGTGGATTGTAAGTGTTGGAAAGCTGTGTGCGTATGCTTTAGATATGGGGGTATAATTGGAATAAAAGTACTTTTTTTTTTCTTTTTAAAGGTGTGTGAACTAAGAAGGATGTGCACAAAAAGGAATAGGTGTGTGGAAATCGAAGTTCCCATGGACAATGTATTTTAGAGTGTGGATCTTTAGGCAAAAAAATAAATAAATAAATGAAATTGAATTTATAGATCAAGTACCATTTTTTTAAAGATATTTTAATCAATTTTATTTAACTTTTTAGATCCATTAATCTATATACACTTAAAAAAAATATTAATTATAACAAAATACGAAATTTGTATCGGATTTTTTTTTTTTTTTTGTATTTAATGAATTTTTAAAACATTTTTGCACAAATTTCATACTTTTTAGGTGTATCTAGATTAAGTGAATTTAAGAACTAAATTTTTTTGATTAAAATATTAAAAATTTACTAAAATTAAAAAATAGGGATAAAAAACTTACAAAATTGATTTTGAAAACTGTAAGCCAAAAAAAGTTAATATGTTTTATTTTTAGGATACTTGTATATTTTTTTAATTTATATATGTTATTTTTACTATATAAAGTAAAAGATAAAACAAACAATGTCAACACAAAATTTAATATAAAAAAAAAATTATAAACGACTCATTTAAATGGCACCAAATTGATATGGACATAAAGGTTCAATAATTTACCACAAACCTACCCTTTGGACGTGTTACTGGATGGTTTGTAGTCTAACTAACCTCGCTGTAACTTTTTAAGAAGTGGTTCATGTTGAATAGTGATGGAGGGAAAATAATGGGATGAACTCTCATACACCAAGAGCAACTACAAATGTAATAAAAGAGATATTCTCTCTTGAAATATATTAACTTTCAATAATGAATTGATTTGTTCTAAGGCTTACAAACTTATTTATAATAGAACTAACCCTAATTCAACAAAGGAAATAAACTAGAAAGGTAAAGATCACTAATTAAGCCCAAAACAAAGAAAATACAAAATTACCAAAAACAGAAAGATTTGATTAAATCTTGAAACTAGAATAAAAAAATAAACAATTTGGAAAAAATATAATCTCAAACGGATTCTCGAAGACCACGTAATTAACAAAACAAATCTTTCAAAAAATGATAAAAATGTGTGTTTAGAGGCCTAATCAATGAAATTTGGCCGAAATTCATCATACACCATAGCAAAGCAATGGGTATTGGTCATGAAGCCATTTTCCATGTCCTAACCGAATCTCGAGTTATTCCAAGCATGCGCCATTTTGCGTCTACTAATACTTTTGCCCTTTTCCTTATTTGTCTATGAGTTCTAGGAACTCTATGGCCAAACACTCGGCATCATCCCCCTCTAGGTTGAGAAGAATTCGTCCTCGAATTCAAGTTGTCATTCGAAGAATCACCATGATTTGGAACAAGATGCTTAACATTAAGAACATCAACAATGTGGATATGACTTGGAAGTTTCAAACGGTAGGCATTTGGGTTAATCTTCTCAATAATTTCCACAGGACCAACCTTTCGTGCGGCTAATTTGTTGTACTCCCCCACTGAAAACCTATCCTTAGTGAGGACAGCATATACAAAATCGCCCACCTCAAATTCCACAAAGTACTATTTTTATCAACTTTCTCCTTGTATTTTGCAAAAGTTGCTTGTAATTGCTGTTAGGTGGCTTGATAAATCTACTAAAGTTGAGCTATAAAATCCTCTGACTTGGCATGCACCCTCTTCATATCAGGAACTAGGGAAAGCTTTGCCGAAAGATCAAGTGGAGATCGTAGAACACAATACCATAGACAACCTGAGATGATGACAGACCAATGCTACGGTTTGCAGAGTGGTTGAATGCAAACTAGGCTTGACACAATTTCTGGTCCCATGATTTCAAGTGATTCTCTACAAGAAAATGAAACATGTTACCCAAGAAACAGTTTACCACCTTTGTTTGCCCATCTGTTTAGGGGTGATAAGCAGTACTAAAATCCAGCTTTGTGTTGGCCAATTTCCAAAGACAATGCCAAAAATGTCCCAAAAGCGTGTGTCCCAATCAAAGACAATGGATTTAGGTAACCCATGCCATTTATAAACCTCTCTAAAATGTAGTTGTGCCACCATCACTGCAACTGTAGTCCTTTTTACAAGGAATGAAATGTGCCATTTTAGAAAATCGGTCTACAACTACATAAATAAAATCATTACCTCATTGGGTTTGAGGCAAACCGAGGACAAAGTCCATGCTAACACGTGGCCATGGATAAGATGGAATAGGTAGGGTAGATACATGCCTGCATTGTTAGCGACCCCTTTTGAAACTTGACATGTATGGCACCCTTCCATAAGTCTGGAGATTTCCTTTCGCATTGTTGGCCAGAAATATGATGCTGCCACTAATTCATAAGTTTTGTCCCTGCCCACATGCCCTTCACTATGTAGCTCCTTGATGGTCTTTAACCTCAAACTTTATTTTGGAATACACAATCGGTTGCATTTGAAAAGGAACCCATCTTGGATATGATAATCATGGTTCCCTGCTGTTGCCATACTACCAAGGACACTAGAAAAAAATTGATCAGATAATAACAATTCTAGCAAACTATCAAAACCAAATGCCTTTGTACGCATGAGAGTAAAGAATGAAGCTTGACGGCTAAGGGCATCAACAACTTCGTTCAAAGGACCGAACTTATGCTTGATAACAAAAGAGAACTGTTGGACATAAATAGCCCATTTAGCATGGTGTGATAACCCTATTCCATATTATGCTAATTAATCGTAATTATGATTGTGATTATGTTTTTTAATATGATTTTGGATGTCATTTATATGATTATATACGATTTTGAACTTTTATCTGTTCACTGTAAGAAAATCTGTTCAACTTACTATTATGAACTGAAAATTGAAGGCCTTATCGGCCATAGAAAATAAAATTGAGTACGCCATTGTGATTGGCGTAATTTGTAGAGCCTATGGTGAAATTTAATTGAAAATTGATTCGGATTAAAATAATTAGATTCAGAACGATTAAATTAGGCTTAATTACTTAGCCTTAATCAATTTGATTAGGCCAACATATATAAGTGGCTTATTTACATTTATAAGCCTTGTTTTTTAGCTCATTTCTCTTACTTGGCTGAAATCACTCTAGAGAGAGAAAGAGAGGGCCGATTCTAGAGAGAAAGAGGTGGAATTGTGTGTCTTGGCCCAAAGTTTGTGAATTTGGAAGCTTAACTCCAAGAATTAGTTAGAGATTGGGAGCTTGGAACTCCAAGGTGAGTGTTCAAGCATTGGTTCATAAGTTGAGGTTGTAATTTTGAGAATTTGATGTTAGATTATAATCAAAAGTGTGAGTTAAGTTGCATATGAAGTCAGAATGCACATGCATGCATGGAATTACCATGAATTGCCATGAATTGTATAACCTAACATGTAGCTTGTTAATTATGAAAAATTGAGTGTTGGATCATACATGCAAGCATTGTTTTGATGAGTTTCATATGTAAACATCACTTGAGCCATTTGAAATGGAATTAGAGTAAAAAATTAACATGCATGCTTGATTAATGGAGATATGAAGCTTGTGTGAGTCTTGAATGCATGGGTTTTGATCATACAAGACAAATGTTGATTAATTTGGGAATGAGATCATGATTTTGAACAAGTGACTTCATAT